GAGGAATCTATTAACAAGTCAGTTGCCATGACAGTTGATGAAAGAATAGCTAAAGCTGAAGAATACAAAGCAAAGGGTAATGAACTTTTTAAAGAAAAAAACTACAAGGGTGCCATTGGAAAATACCACAGAGGGCTGCTGTATTTGAAAGATATTGCTAGTCCCATGGAATCATCTCAAACTATGGTACTGCAAATGTTAGGCATGGCAGAGGGTAGCAACAGCAAACGAATGCTATCCAATAATAATGCAGAACTGGTGAAGAAACTGGAGATTAACTGTTACAATAACCTAGCTGGTAAGTGCTCAATTCTGATTCGTGTTGTTAATATGGTTCAAATCGAATGCTACATCAACACTGGCTTGCACCCCTCCTCTTTCCTATTTGGTGGTTACGGCGAGTGTAAAGAAATAATAATGATTGTTTCCTCAATAAACACTGCACAATAGTGCAACAATTTCTGTTCATATAAAAACCCAATCATAGAAATGCAGGTCAGTGATTGTTTCCCATAATGCTCAGGTGTCATACTACAAAGCAAAATTAATTTGCAGTTTTTATACCACAAAGTGTTTTTCTAAAAATACACTTTTTCATCAATTTAGCATATATGAACATTTGTTGATATTTACCACTCTTTAGGCTACATGTAACTGAGTATGGTTTGAGGCAATTTATATTTGCGATATTCTACCAAACACTCAATGCAGTTAGTGGTCAAAATGTTAAGAGAGGATTTGTTTTATATGACTACTGTTATTTGTAGAATAATCATAATGTGTTGTGGGAAATGAGGTTTCTTTTTCTGTTAATTGCATGTTTTGAGGTTTTCATCAAGCATACTGTATTGTAATCATTCGAATCTGATGTTTGTACCATGTGAACTAGCTACCATATATATTATAACAGGTATTTGTTGTTCGTATCCCCAGCATGTTTATTGCACCAGCCAGAGGCCAACTATGAAAAGGTGATATATTACTGTGACTGTATCATATCCAAGATGCCCAATAATACCAAAGCCTGGTACAGGAAAGGTGTGGCACTCTATCATATCCGTGCTTATGAAGAATCTAAGCAGTCTCTATTGACAGCTCAGAGTCATTTATCAAATACACAAGGTATATACAATTAAACTTGTTTTAGTTTTACAAAATACACAGCCTAACATTAATTCACGGTAGTAAAAATAATTGTTTTTTCAAGAGCGTGAATAATTTTTTTTCTTGAGCACATACCGTATACCCCCGGTATATGAAAACAGATAGACATAACATTTGATCAAATGATCTAGCATCAACTGGTTTAGCAAGAGTTTCATGCACACAAGGACAGTGTAATTCCGGTCATAAAATTACAAACCACTATAGTTCCATGTTTTGATGGAGCTTTTATAAAAAATATGCAAATCTGTAACATCCAAGTTTCGCTCAAGATGGACATTAAAAAAACTAAGTACTCTTCTTTCCCCAAAAATATATATAATGCAAGTTCATTGTTAGATTAATTTAGATGCAATAAAAAATTGAAAATTACGTGACTGAGAGCTTTGTTGATCTGGTGAGCATGTGTTGATATAGGGACAAGCAGCTATGCAATTCATGCATCCGGTCACTCATGGCATCTCTATGTGGTAGCTCTAACAACTTTTCAACTACGTGGCAATAAAATCAATCAAGCTGGAAGTGATGTTTTACATGTATCCACTTGGACTGAGGAAATGTTCTGATCTATATGCATTGCTTTGAAGCACATATGCCTAGGGTTTCGTTTGTTATCTGTGTAAAAAGATTGAAGTTCACATGCAATACGCAGTTAGGATCACGATGTAACATGGTGTATACATCAAAGAACGTATTTTTTCAGCTACGCTGTCATCAAAAAAGGCCGAGCAGAGCTCATGGGTTGACCACATCTGTACGTCGTATGTCGTCCGTAAACTGTTTTCACTCAAACAACATCTTCTTAAAAATTGTCAGCTGGATTACGTTGCTATTTATACCACACTTACCTGGGATGGTCTTCTACCAGATTTGTTCATTTCATGACATTACATGTAAACCTCTAATTTTTTCGGAATATTTTTGTTATTTATAGTTAAAAATGAGTTTTTCTACAACCATTTGTTCAGATTGCTTTGAAATTTAGCATGAATGTTGTTGACATGGATTACACTCAGACGTATTATTTTTATGGCACCAGTGTCTATTTTTAGTGCATTTAAAAAAACAAATTGCATATTTTAGACTTCTTCTTCAAAACCATTTGCCACATTGATGAAATTAAATTAATAATGTAGACACATGGACTGGTCCTTTCTCAAGTTTACTTTTCTGAAGATATCTCTATTTTTGTGGAAGTTATGTTTTTTTTGGTTATTACTTGTTTTGGATTTTTTCACTTTCCCATACATTATATATGGGCTGTGTATAATGCATGGACTCCAGTAGACAATTGTATCAGTTGGAAGCTAAGCTTTCTCAGTACACATTGACTTGGAAAATGAACTGGTTGGGCCAATGTTTTTTCAGAAATGCTCAAGTTCAGATCAAGGTCATTTTAAGATTTATACATTGGGTGATACTGTACAGTGTGGATGGGATGGACTAAAACACCTTTCCAATGTCTTCAAGGCCATGTCAGTGTCATCCCGATGCCCCAGGTCAGAGTCATCTCAAAGTCACATGTTGATTGCATGTGTATTGGGGGGGTCAGGAAGTAACCCCTCCATCGAGATCAAGGTCATCTCAACATTTTGGAGATATCTGAATAATGACTATTGCCGTTACTGCCCTCTGCACTAGCGGGGCTCTACAGACTGCAAGATCGCTTGTTGCAACCAGTTTTATTTTTTAAAATTTGTTTAATACTAATGTTTTTCAAAAACAGGTGGAGCAAGGGATACAAATTTAAATCTTTTTTTTAAACACTGCAAATAGGACACATTTAACAATTAGTTTTTGAAAATTGATTAGCTGTTTGAATTGATTGTATCAGATTATTATTTCTGAGGTAACATTGTTCTAAATATGTGTTTGATAATCTTGTCTGTTGTAAAATCTTAATATGAAAGTTTCTGGTTTTGTTTCAAATTATTTTTATTTTGTAATATTTTTCAGATCCTAATATAAAGCGGTACATGTTGATGTGTGATGCAGCCATAGAGAAACGACTAAACGACGAGAAAGAACGCTATAAAGGGATGTTTGATAATATGGACATCAATGGCTAGTAACACTCCGCCAATCAGAACCGTACTAATTTGTGAAAATGTATATGCATTTAATATTTCAGTGTTAATTCCACAGAACAATCTTATATATAGTTTTAGTCAAGATGCAAGTGTCTTCAATCCAGTCATTGTCAACATTGACTCTTCACTCTTGCATGGCCATGCTGAACAATTCATCAATATTCTTTATGAAAATTTATTGGTGATGCCATTTTTGAAATGCGGTTCAGCAAAACACATGGTCTCCCTGTCAGCTATTATATCTAAAATTATTCTATTGTTTTTTTGTCAATAAATGCAATGATTTTCATTTAATTTTGATAATTATCTGTTGTACATGCTTGCACCATACATTGCAATTTAGAGTAAAACAATACGATGAGATGAAGTGTCCTTTAATCTGCAACTATGCTGAATGTTTTAAGTTTCAACAAAAGGATATTTCTTTTAATTTACAATATGTAGTGCACTGATATAATGCATTTTGTTTTTTCTAACAATATATGATCACGAATTGAAAATTGCAGATTGAAGTTCATTATTTATAAATAGTGTATTTCAGATGCTGAACTTCTAATTTTAATTGTGTCAATAACTTCATAGCACGACTCATTTAATATGTAGCAATAAACAGTATGAAAAGTGTTACTCTGTTGTAATGCAAATTTTGTTTAGAGGTTGCAAGACCTATCTGGGGGAAAATTATCAGCCAATTGCATGGCCAGATAAATACGATTTGAGAATTTTTCCTGAGCACACGCAGCATTGATAGTGAAGGTCTATTAGCATCTGCTAAAATCAGCCCTAGATACACTAGTTAATATTACAACAAAACACAGAATAGCACAACTGTTTCCAGCATGTATTCAAGGTAGAAGCGTATGAAATCAGAAAGCACTGCCACCGAACATGGCGGTAAATAACAAATACAGAAAGTATTGATACCTTATTTTATATATTTACATGCATCTTCAGGAGTGGAGTGTACATGTAACTGACATGCTATTCTGTGTAATGTTGTTCCCCTGAATCTATGGACCAAACTTTGGTTAAACCAGGCAATGCACCTAATGGCACACACAATTCTACACTTTGTCACAGTGTAGTTATATTACATCAGAATACTGAATTAAAAATAAAACATATCAAAGCAATTTACTTAGATCAGTTAATGGTTTACTTTTGACATTTAATTAAAAACATTTCCATGCTGAATGTATTCCATGTACTTTATAATTCAAATACTGTGTCACACCAATGGTTATGTTCGGTTGTTAAAAATACATTTATAATGCAGTGTAGTGTAGTGTATCTAATAGAGCAAATGTATTTGAATTATTGCAACCCATAACAGAATGAATTTTGCTGTGACATGCAATCTGGGATTGCAGCTGTCCTTGGCATCTGCTGCAATGAACACCTTTACCACTGTAAATAAGACAAGAGGACCATCCCTATAATATATCAAATCCAAAAATTACCCATACATGTTGTCTGTATACAGTTCACTATTATGAATTTACAAAATCAAGAAATACACCATATTCACTGGAGTGAAAAGGATGGACGCAAGTAAATATAATTGACAACCTGTTATGATTGTTTCTGTCCCAGTGCCAAATCCCATTCTATGTTATCTGCAATTTGTACTGTTTCAATTTGGTTTTAATTAGTTTTGTGCTATGTGTTGACATACAAAGGTAACTTGATTCAAACAGCATAGCATATAATTAATTTATGGGATTATGTTATCAGACACCTACAGAATCTACATAAGGTTGAATACTTTAAAATAAAAAAATTCAGTCATCACTATCATTGGTTTCATTCCTTCTATAGTTCCTTTTAGTTCTTGCCACTCGATTCTTAAACCTTCGGAATTCTGGCCAGTTGTTTTCATTGTTATTTCCATTGACTGGATTACAATCACCGTTTGCAGCATCCAAACATAAATTGTCAGTTTGTGCACCATTACAAGCACTGTCTTGTGAGTTATCATTTTTCAGTGTTAGATGGGGTGGCTGGCTTCCAGATGGCAATGTATCACCTGTATTCCTTGGCTTTGATTTTTTGCTACAGCCTGGTTGTAAGTCATTACAGTTTTCATTGCAAGTCCTTTTAGATCTGTCCAACCTGACATCCTCACTACTGGTATTATTGTCTCTGTACTCCCCATCAACGCCCACAGGCGCAGCACTGTCCAAGTTGTCATTGTTCAGAGCATCCTCATTATGAATGCGTCGTCTTAGAGACCGAATAATGCTCATAGATGCTGTTCCTACCGATCTACTTCGTGCAGACACACTTTGTAATCGTGTACCAGTGTCCTCATCATCACTACTACTGCTGCTGCTATCATCTACAGTCAAATTATTCCTTGATACACTGCGTCTGGATAACTTCTCTCTCAGGGCACGTCTACATGCAATCCTTTGTCTGAGACTAATTAATCTATCATGGTCAAGATGCATGACTGATGAGAGCAGTTTATTACTTGAGTCTGAGTCGTAGTCACAGTTAAGCCACCGACCTAAATTACTCTGTGAAGGTCCGGGTGAGTTACTCGGCAAACTGTGCGTCTCCTCATTACTTACATCAGTATCACTATTGACATTAGTCGTATCTGCTAAAGATACTCTTCTGATTCTTGAAGGTGTTTCTAACTGTATAAAACTTTGTGGACTAGGTTGTGAGGTGGCGGATTCTGTATTATTAGCAGTGTCACTGTTTGGTCTAACCACCCTCATATCAAACAGTCTACGTAACTCTGCTGCAGACTGTGCTAAATCCTCAGGTCGTGATGTGTTGCCATCTGAGGATGAAAACGCAAAAAGACTTTCATCATCAGATGGAACATTTGACTCCCTCTCCATCAACTGTACATAAAAGTTTTGTCCACTTAGTAAGCTGTCATCAGAGTCACTCAGACTGCTCCATCCTTCCACCTCCCTTTGAACTAAAGAATCAAAAAATGCAATCATTCGTGGATCTTCATGCATTGATTTGTGGGTATAGTCATGTGACAATCCCTGCCCACTGTTAAGTACGAGGTCAATGTACTCTTCGTGTGAATACATATTCCTTTCAACTTCACTCATATCCATACCACCGGTGGTAGTACCCACAGACTCTGGTAACTTGAATGGACTCCATATCTACAGTGAAAACAATAAGCTTATCAGGTGTACATGTATTTTATTATAACATTTCAAGTGACAAAATGAAATTGGTGACAGTAGTTCCAGTGGGAAGCACTGCCTAATGGAGAAACTATAGCATTGATAACATTGAGTCTACTATAGCATTGATAACATTTAGTCTACTATAGCATTGAAAACATTGAGTCTACAATAACATTGGGTCTACTATAGCATTGATAACATTGAGTCTACTATAGCATTGATAACATTGGGTCTACTATAGCATTGATAACATTGAGTCTACTATAGCATTGATAACATTGAGTCTACTATGGCATTGATAACATTGAGTCTACTATAGCATTGATAACATTGAGTCTACTATAGCATTGATAACATTGAGTCTACTATAGCATTGGTAACATTGAGTCTACTATAGCATTGATAACATTGAGTCTACTATAGCATTGATAACATTTGGTCTACTATAGCATTGATAACATTGAGTCTACTATAGCATTGATAACATTGAGTCTCCTATAGCATTGATAACATTTGGTCTATTATAGCATTGATAACATTGAGTGTACTATAGCATTGATAACATTGAGTCTACTATAGTATTGAGTCTACTATAGCATTGATAACATTGAATCTACTATA